AATATTGCTGACGCACTTGGCTAAGGCGACTCAAAAGCGAAAGGCTCATAATTTTAAGTCACTTGCAAGTCTTTGGATTGGCCCATCGTGTCACGTCATCACATAATGTCCCATAATTTTGCGAAATCTGACGTAATCAAGACGTTTCAGGCTAACGTTAGAACGTGATGTGTTTTGCGTAACTTCGCTGGCGTCGACAGTCACTTTTCTCGATTGATGCGGTGTCTAGAGCTTCAGCCTTAATGACTATATCATACTGACCAATTTGTGGCGTCACACAAAGCTCTATGTAGCGGTGAATATTTTTTACTGAAGTGATTCATGAGAAATGAACCTTTAATGCCGATCATCCTATAGCTTGAGCTTGAGGACACCTTTATTCTTGCGAAAACATTTTTCGAAAGAAACCAGTGCGCCATGTGTTAATAAACAAAGCGACCGCTGAATCGCTGCAGCTGGTGCTGCTGATAAGAAAAATTGAAAGGCCCGGATGTGAACTTTGTCTCTGAGCAGCCTTATGAACACCACCATGTTTGCCTCGCATCATGGACGAGTGAACGCGTTTGTGTGTTCATGTGCATATAGTTGTTCCCAACTCGCACCAGTGCTACTATAAAAATAGTTTGTTTACTTTACTAAGCATGTTCGATCAGGGCCATTTCCTCTCTGTACTCTCATCGTCCTTTAGTTATTGCGTATTGCAGCATCTGGCGAATATTTTATGCACCCTTTATGATAATAGTGTTGCAGGTTTTGGCAAGCGAGACTGTATACACTTTGCATAAAGCTATTATGTATCCCTTGCGTATACAAAAAAAATTTTAAAAAGTGCATCATAATTCAGAAGCTCCGCTTAATGTTCTGCATGGCTTGAACCTATGTGCTCCGCGCATGCATGCTCAAGTCGCGTTTGTTTGAGTGTTGTTCGCCACAGGTTCCAGCAAGCTGCACTTGCCTGGCGGCTGCGCCGGCTTCTCATCTTTCGCAACATAACTGAAATTATAAATATGGTTGTAAAAACATTAAGGAGCGATTACGCATTACACATCGACATTATTTCAAAAGTTGCTGTAAAGCGAAAAGTCTTTTCAATTGCGACAATATAAGTCTATAGAAAATGGAGGCTCCCATGAGTGTATATGTAGACGTGCGTCTAGCAATGAACGTCTTGATTTAAAGCGTCAAACTTCAACTAAAAAACCTGCTCTTGGGTTGAACGTGCGTGCGTGTGATTGTGTGTAACTCTGAGTGCTTGTTTTGTGTTTGTCTGATATGAATGAAACTAACACTAAAAGGACATTTGACACTCAAAGGAACCTGGTACTCGTTCGTGGGTTCTTCTTCAGAGCGTTTGACTTAATATGTGATACGTTATTGAATTGTATAGTGACCAGGCTACTTAAGCAGGACTATGAGTCTTGAACTGGAAAAAGATTGGGTAGGTACCACAAAAAGCTGATATGTGCAAAGCAGCTCCTAACATATTATAGCTGTGTGTATTAAGTGAAGGTGAGGATCAGTGATGTAAGCGCGTTGAGAAATAATGCAGGAGGGTGACACAAGAACCTAACGCTCGTTTACCAGGTAATGGTGTTTGATTGCGAAGCCAACATTCGTTATTAGTCCATTCAAATTTGGAAAAGCCTAGAACACCATAAACAAGTTAATTTAAACATGCAAAAATCGGTACATGCAAGATAAGTTTACAAGCCAAGAAAACCAAGATATATGAAGTAAGGCCGCTTTAAGCCTACTTTTACTATTGAAGGCCAACCACCTTCGCTGCCCCTTCCGACTTGGCGGCGGTATAGCGATGCTGCCTTGGATTTTTTTAGGAACGTTTGCCAGAAAGTGGCCCCAATTTAAAAGTAACAAAATCGAAACAAAAATTATATTTATCTTCCAACATGTTTATAACATGTAGGGGGTGCCTCAGGCAAAAAGCGGTTATAAGATCACTTGAGAATTAATGAGGGCCAAGGCAGGTTGCAGCAACCTCGGAATTTATGCTCTTGACAAATAGAGTATAGCAAGAGCGGGAAAAATGAACAAAAAAAAATGTTTTGACAAAATTGTTCAAATAGAACAATAAAACACAGAAACGCACAGAACAAGCTCAATTTTGATTGGGGGTTGATACAATTTTATTTTACACTAGCTTCTGGTTGTGATGACGAGTTGCTTATACGTATCTGTTGGGCGCATGGCGGTTACTTCGCTTTCAATATTTTTTTATTTTTTATTTGGGTAATGTTGTGCTTTCATTGTATTAGTAGTGCTCTGTTAGCTTCAATTATCAACTTATGTTGTATGAGTTGCGATACCTTCAATTCAGACACGCCTTTTTATTTTTTTTGACCCCCTTTATTCTTATGAGTAGCATATTAAATGTGTCTCACTACTTAAAATGTGTCATGAAAGATTAAATATTTCGATGTTCAACCTGATGAGTCGCATCAATGTGTCTCGCTACGTAAAATGTGTCATGAAGAATAAATGTTTCGATGTTCAACCTGTAGTTGCTATTATATGTTGTCACTATTCGTCTTAGTTTATTGAATCCATGTGTTTTAAAACAGCTCACTTTTTTCGACTAGACAAATTTTGCTGTTGGCTTTATAGAGGACTGGAGCATTGTCGATGCGCAGTAGTGTGGCTGATTGATTGAGTGGTTTACTGATTGGTGTATTGAATAACAATCTATGTTTGATCATGAATGAAATGAACAAGAAGAAAGTGTAGGTAATTAACAGACAAAAAACGTGATATAAGAGAGTAATGATTTTGTTCTGATAGCATTTATACATCATAACAAAACACTAGGCAAGATTAAAAATAACCTCGCGTTTTTTTTTGCAAACATAAAGAAGTTGTGGTCATTATTTACATGTTTAATAAGCAGGGAGAATCATGTTTATCTAAGAGACTCTAGAAAATAGTTGGGGCAAGAACGAGGAACGAGCCATCTGTCCGAACTTTGGGCCCATGAATACGTGCGTTGTATACTTATGTTTGACAATTCTCTAGTTGAATTCATGATGATGATATGTGGGGTTTAATGACCCAAAACCACCAGACGCGAAGACAAAAAGCTAGATTAGAATTTCTTGATAAACTTTTCAACAAAAACCTAGCTCTAGAGCCATCGCCGTATTTTCACCCCTAAGTAGCCGGCCCACTTGACACCACCACAGAAAAGCCTTGATCCCATATTTTGCTCGCACCGACCTACTTAGGTTTTCGTACTTTCGAAAAACGATATGTGACTGAAACTGCCTTTGATGAATGAATTGACTTACGAAATAACCTTCTTCACCCTTTATTATTTCAGTTTTGCATTTGCTACTTCATTCATATCTGTATTACTTCATTTGTATCCCTATTACCAACACGACTTAGACTTAGAGTCTGCAGTATTGAATAAATAAATAAATATATAAATAAACAAAAGAAATACCTAAATAAATAAATAAATAATATGATAATGACAGATGCCCTAAAAAATGACTCAGGAAATTTGGACCACCTGGGGTACATTAACGTGCTCCCAAAACTGAGCCCACAGGCCTACAGCCTTTTCGCCTCCATCGAAAATGCAGCCGCTCCAGCCGGGATTCGATGCTGCGACATGCGGGTCAGCAGCCGAGTACCCTAGCCCCTAGACCACCGCGATGGGTCTAGTCAAATGTGCGGAATGGTTTCCTTGCAAAAAAAGTACTTAGAAAATATTCGAACGTTGTACATTTGTTTCACGTAGAGTATAGTGGTGAAGCAAAGCACCCGCAGAAGTACTGCGGGGTACATTTAAATATATGCCCCTTTTCGCAGTGGTCAAATTGATTCTATATTATCTACGATTATGGTAACCCATACAAGAAGGTCGTAATTTATGTTTTAAAAAAAAAGAGAGTGTGATGGTTCTGTACTTTGGCTGTTTCCGGAAGTGCTGACATCGTGAGAGAACACCAGCAGCACACGATAATGATTTAATCAATGATTCAAAATGACATTACCAATGTCATATGAGGGGTAAAAATGACTAGCACTTTATTCTTCCCGCCATTTCCACGGATATTCCTTCAGGTGTTCACGATTGAAAGAATATCTGTGAATATCGTACGACTGAATGATTACCCTTGAGGGAAAAATTGCAACGTTGTTGCAGGTATATCGTTCGCAAAACTGAAATGAATTTTTTCAGCTTGTAGTGCATCTTAATACGTGCATCGTAGAACACGCAGGAAGAAATTTCGGCATTAATCACAAATACCGACCCCCTGCAATGCATACGTTCTCTTCTCTACTAAAAATGTGAAGTCCCTCGACGCACTTTCGCCTGAGCACAATTTTGCTAAGACCCATTCTCTAATAGCTTAGGCTCATCCAATCATCAGTTTAGCGCAGTTTACAACTTTGCCATTCCGACCCGTTGGAGAGGAAGCACGAGATACGTTGCCTGACCGTGTTGTCGTCCACTCGGAAGAATGTTCTGCCCATATCGACCTGAAGCTGTGTCAAGGTTTTTAGAACTTCCCGGGTATCTACAAGACCCGCTTCACTAATCACAAGAACGTAATGCGTTGAGACTTCTAAAACCTCATGCAGCTGCTCAGAAAAAGTTGCATCACCACTGCGCCGAGTATTCGCGGCCCTTTGAGTGACAAATTATTCAAAAATATTCCAGCTTTTCTATGAAAGTAATGAAGCATGTTCAACATCTAGTACTCCTTCACACCGCCACACAGAAATCTATCGAAAATATGCACGTTACCCTCTAGGCAGTTCAACAAACGTTCATCAAGCTTGACCTTAATATGTTACGGTGTGAGTTCACTGACGTGTTCCATGTAACAATATTTGATCGTTATCCTTTAACATTAGACCTACGCAACGATCTGATTCATCAAGTACTAATATACGGATTTCAGAGTTAACGATAACCAAAAATTGTTTTTGTTAGTAGACATCAAAGCTTCGCGCACCACTCGTCTTACTCGCAGGTAGCCAAGATGGTGATGGTCGTGGCCGCGGCATTCGCCCTGTCATGGACGCCATACTTCCTGGTGTCCATGTGGACGCAGTTCGGCACCAACTACCTGGAAAAGCAGAACTACTTCTTCACCATGCTCAGCATCAACCTGCTTGCGTTCATCAATTCGTGCGTCAACCCATTCATCTACGCGGCCATGAGCAGGCGCTTCCGGGGCGGCTTCCGGCGCATCCTGCTTCCGGTCGCCTGCATCGGAAGCTGCAATTCCAGATCCGGCTGGCCGCCCACCGCAAGGCCAGTGAGCTGCCCCGCCCGTTGTTCGTCAGCATGCGGTTTTATTATGTCACTTCCGGAGTGACCAGTCTGTTGCATGCCTACCTGAGTTATGCATTATGACAAGGTTGGCAACCTCCCGCTCCCTGCATGGCGTCAGAACTCCCTCCTCCCGTAGTTGTTTCCTATCTGAAGAATGAGATGGTATTTCATACCTTAATTATCGTTAGACAGGAACGTACGAAAGATCCTGTTTAATTGCTATTACAACCTTCTGAAATGCGTGCTCAAAATATACATGAATTCGATTCTAGTTTGTGAATTAATTGTCAATGCACTGAAATTCATCCTCTTTGCCCCCAGCTCCCTCTCCTCTCTCTCCCCGATTAGCCTTCCAGCTTCCGCGGTGCCCGCTTCATGCAGCTCGGTTTTCTGCCTGAAAGGTTGCCTACCCATGCAAAATGTTCCCTATTCCGTGCGTGTATTGGTATGTTTCAAAGAATCAAGCCACATTTGGGCCACACGTTGTAGAACCAAATGAATTGCGGAAATCTAAGCATCGTCGTCTCTAGAGTGGCCACACCCCTGTAAGTTCATATATTCTGGAGCAGCTCTACATAGTCTTGGTGAAGTACGAACTGAACTCACCTCCCACATTTTTAGTTCAGTCTGGGAATGCACATCAAACATGCTACTCAGCGCCAATAAATATGAGCAAACATGGCCATTTGAGTATGGCCATATGAACATGTCTGGAAAAAACGCCAAGCTTGTGTTTTTTTTTTTCTGAACATATCATCCCCTATTCGCAAGGCAAAGTTAGCTTCACCGCGAAATGCTTGTGATTCAGCGGCGCCACCACGCTACAGAAGACGACATGGCGAAAGCCCCACCTACAGATGGCAATCCGCTTGCACGCTAGTTCCACAAGCGCCCACGAATGGCGCTCTACGGAGCACTGGCCACACGGTGCGGTGTTCAAACTGGAAGCGCGTGCGTCTGTACCTGAGTACCTAAACTCGACACTTGATATTACAGATCTGTAGCTTCTAGCTTCCGATGTAGACGTGTACAGGTGCATCTTACACTATGGTGCTCATTTGGTTGAACTGGTGCATCTACATAAAGTAGGAGAACTAGCCCGAAAAGACAAATATTACAAGGACGTGTGCCAAGTTCTGACTTAGAACGCTCTAAGTGAGCGGTTGTACGTCAACGCTTAGTCTGTCTTTGTCTTGTCTGGCTAATCTTGTTTCATGCTCTCTATGGTGCATGTGTGTCGGCGTGCAACTGCAAACCTAAAGATAGTGAATATAAAAAACTGGGTAAATGTCATTGAGCTTAGACAAGATTTCTTTAAGCTACGTTCTCCACATCCATACAGTGCAGTTCAGTCGGCAAATACAAAACTCTATGTAGTGCAGTGCGTGGAGAAATACCATTACTTGCTAAGCGAACTTCCGGCTCCTTTATAGCAGTTGCCTCTTTTATTCTTCTAGCGAGAAGGAACGTGAGAGCGCAGTTATTTACATATTTGTTTTTGGTTTTACTTAGGCAGGGAAGCATGATTTAATTTAATGGTGCCAGAGACGCAATGCCTAGTGAGTGGGCGCCACATCCTCCTAAATTATCCACGTGGCAGTTTCTTCGCAGGGAATATTGGCTTTTGCGCTATCATATGCTGTGCTCTGATTAAGCCTTCCCGGCATTTGTGGAGGATATCCGATTTGTCACTGAGCATCCATGTCTGGACGTGACGAAATGTGCAAAGCTGTGCTCTCCACCTAAGTGCTTTCATATGGCTCTTCACAGCCATACATTTCATCTTTGGAGCTTCAGAGTTTTTTTTTTGTTACTTCCGTTTTCCCCTTTTCTGTTATCTTGCTCTACCACACATGTGTCCGTTTCAGTTATAATAGGTTGACTTGGTTTTTTTTTTGCCAAGTAACTTAGCAATTTCCAGTAGCTTGTCGCGTTTTTTAGGGGCGAAGCTACTCTTAACCTAACTTTGTCATGCGCCATGCATAACCGAGAGAAGAAGACATGAGGAAGAAAAAAAGGCAGTATCTCCCGAACAGTATATGAGACAGCACTGTCTGATAGACGTACGTAGAAACTGCAGTTGAGTGAGGATATTCTAGATGGCGCTGTAACTGCTACTCTCCGATCGGCTGCTGCGCAGGCTGTGCCTTGGCTCGCGAGTAGCTTGCGCTGAGCTTCCTTGGCTCGTATATTGTCGATGTTACCCGCACGCCGTCGGAATTCTCGAACGCGATCGGACGCATGTACGAATGCACGGACGGACGGACACACGAACGGGTGGACAGACGGACGCTTCGCCACACTCATCATCATTCACTTCGTGTATATGCCGTGATTTTTTTGCTTATCTCCATTTCCCTAGCAAGTATACTTATTTTCGTGATGACGATTTTAGTTGTTCCGTCGTTGACTTTGACTAGTTCAGTGTTGCTTTGAAGTGACGTCGAATGAATCAACAAGTAATCATAAATATGCACTGGCCAACATATTAAATAATCAACGTCAAATGAAACCCGAACAGCGGCAAGTCTTCGTAATGCTATATTGCGTGCCGTCCAGTTGTCACCATTGGCAGGTGCGCGCATGCTGTTCAGGAAGTCTGCGCAAATGTGCGTGCACCCTACCATCAGGAAGGCTTGCCGCTGTGCGAGTTTCATTTGACGCTGACTGTACATGTAGCCGAATAGAGACTACTTTCGGTACAATGTTGAAAAGTAGCTGTGTGCTTCTTTCTACCAGCTGCGCACGTTTTACTGTGCAAAACAAATCAAACATATTTAAAGTCTCGTTGATATTTGAGCAACATTCATTTTCGTACTATGTAAAAATATTCTGAAGGCAAAATTTCCTTTGTGCCTTGCTACGTACTTCTTGAGGCCCCGGTATCTCTTTCGTTCCCCGCATTGCGAGGGTAATAATGAGTAGGCAACAGTTCATAGAATGCAAGATCAAGTGCGCTCAACTGCCATTAATTATCATCAATAACGTGCGTGGCATTATAACCGTCCTTCAAGTAATAGCCGCCCAGGCTCAACTGAGTGCAGGTACGCGACTGAGTTGGAAGCCCCCTTCTAATATTAAAGGAGGTGTACCGCTATTCTACACCCCCCGCCCCCAAGTGCGTTCATGTCTATACTTGTACCAGCGCCATTCCTAAATTATCACTTTCGTTGATGATAATGACCTTCGAATTTCGAAAATTGGGCACATCGTTTTATGAGCAGCACAAACATCTGCTATGCTTCCCCGTATCGTAATAAAAAACACTTACATGTAAAAGGCGGTCCGGCATATTAACAAGAAGCTACCTTCCTCTCTTCAGTAGATAATTGCATCTAAGATATTCTGTACTAGACCACCTCCGGATGTATTGGTGCGTGAACATCTGGTATTTTTTTTTTGCTATACTCTTTTCTTCTCTTTCTGTGACCACAATCGCAGGCCTGCGGTTCCCGCCTATTCATCGTCGTTCCGGCTTCGCCTCCATCGGCTGCCGAACGGAACCAGCCTGCTGTCGACTGCGTCCAGTGGGTCGCAGAGCGACACCCAGACGCACTTGGCACTCCCGGGGGCTCACCCCCAGCATCGAGTGGCGGTGGCGTTGAGGAACGCGAGGCAGGCTAGACTCGCCAACGGCAACGTCCTCAGAGACACGGCCACCACCACGGACACCGGACTGTTCTCGCTCCTCGCCACCATCACTGCCAAGAACAGTAGTCCAGGTCGACAGCAGTGACCGAACAGCATCGCCGGGCTCTGAGCGACTCTATGTTGACCAGACACAGTCTCTGCTGTCCTGAAAATGGAAGCCTGCCTTCCGTATCCAAAATGTTGCCCCAAGTCGACCCGGAAATGACGTCAAAACGACGAGGCACCACGCAGTGATGCTTGCCATTCAGCTTGCAGCCACGAGGAAAAGTTGATAAAGCGCAATGAGAAAAGATTATTTGCACGAGTTCATCAGGGTGGAGACATCTTGGTTTTGAGAAGTCCGTCTGAGACACTAAGCCCAGTCCTTGAAGTGTCGTCTACAGAACTATTGAAAGCGGTACAAAAAAGGGAATCTTATTAGTGAGATTCAGGTCCAAGCCCTAACAGAACTATGATATTTGATGTCTTGAAAGCTGTGTTGGTTTTGCAGCAGTTCAGTTAGAGCTTCGGTACTGCAGTGTCGTCTTGAAAAGTAGTCGGTCCCTTCCTTGTGTGCGTGAGAATGAAGTCCCGACGAAATAAGACATTCAAGATCTGCAGGGAGACAGTAAACGAGAAATAGTGCTAACGTTGCGGTGCAGTTCTCTAAACCAAAAATTCAGCGACGCTGTTGATCAAAAAACTGTTACTCCTTCATCTCATGAGAAGCTCAGGCATTACAAAAGGTTGCGTTGCTAAGGTATGACATGTTTATTGTAAATGTACGGTGAACACAGTGGAGGGGACAAGAACCGTATGCCAACCCGAAAGGTTGACGTAGGTTTACTGTGTACACAAAATGTACATTTAGCACAAAATGCGGGGAAACACTTATACACGGCTAGATTGTCTCTATGTAGTGACATGACTGTTGTGAGTAAGGACAAGATTATACTGAGTGCGGAATCACATGTGCCCTGCCTTTTCACTAGTATATGTGGTTGAGCCTCCAGCATTCCGGAGTTCTTGGCTAGAGCCTCTGGAGTATGTGTTGACCGGGGGATGACGCCACGCAAAACGTAGCCAAGTGTACATTGCAGATAAAGATGTGATAATGAAGATGATATTAGATGGGCGGTGATGCTCTTTTATTGTTCATACAGTAAACTTGTTTACTGTATCTAGAGGCATTCGAGGATGTTTGGCTGATATCGCCAGGGCACGTATTGAAGCTCTATGACGTGATATTGAGTTGAGCTAAGTGTGCGTGGGAGTAAGACTGTGTTATGGACATCATGCGAACGAAGACTGGTGGTGTAATGGTGCTCATAAAAGTGCGACTGTAACTCGAGATGTCATTGCGTACTAGTTGCGGTTATCGCTATGCCGTCCGCTATACGTACTCTACGGTTATGTGACGACTTTCTTTCATAGGTAAAATTGGTAATATTATGTGCACTATGACTGTTTGGTTGGTAATACATGTCACGAAACAAAAAAAAAAAACGAACCACAGGCTGATATGTCTTGTAGACAATTTTACTACATGAATGGCTTGCAAAGGAACAAAAGTTCAATGCTATGACCATGATGTAGCTTGAAAGCTTTATACTGAGCACTTCACTTGAAGATATACTCAAGCTTGTCAAGCACATTTTGAATAATTCCACGTTAGAGACAGTTGCAATTGGATCCAACTGCACTTATGCTCTAGCTCATGCAAAAAGAGCAAGTTTTCCGTTTGTGACGATGAAGCTCAGAGGAAAGAAATGAAGTTGTTTAGGCGAGAATTTCTAGTTTGATACCTGAGGCGGGAGAGGATGAATGCTGTCAGAAAGATTTAACAGCCCACTTTCCATATTAGCGCTTCGACTCATTGCACAAAATGTAGTGCCGATATATTAGTTTTTCTTATCATGGTACCATAAGAGCGTTTAAATTCCAAATCGTTCCACACGTCAAACTCGTCCTTGGAATTAGATGCAGATGGACAAAATGGTGCTAGAATATCTGCATATGCGATAAGCAAAGAAGCAGCATTTTATGGTATAAAAGGTCTGGTTGAAAGAGCGTGTTTTATTTCCTAAAAACCATGCGTTCTGAAGAAGTCTTTTGGATTGTTTGTAAGCTCCCAGTTATTAAAATTGAAGTTTTTCTAGTTGTTAAACTTACGAATTTTTTCGTGGTGAAGTGTTTAGAGTTTATTAGTAAAAAAAATTAGGGCGTACAAACTCGGGCGCATAAGAGTAGAGTTAGGCAACTATTGTGTGCCAGTCTGCTGCGTCTGTCTTTTCGCCGTTTGCTTTATTTTTTGACAAGGAATAGCCCAGTCCTAGCCCAAAAACAGCTTCGCCTTCCGCCGTTCTACGTAGTTCAAGTCCCCCCCCCCCCCACCCAAAAAGAAAAATAGCAGGTCGAGTATTCAGTGTTCAGATAAGGTGAATTTACATAATCGACCAAAGTAAGATAAGCTGTGGTATAAACTTACGCACCTTGATAGTGAAATCAACTTGGAAAGTTCTGCAATTACACTTCAAAACTGCACCAGCCTCGTTCACAAAAAAAAGTCAAGCATGAATCCGTCCTTGAGCCTCAATTACAAGACACTCGAACAAAGAGTAACTGCGTAAAGAAACCCTAAGACCAACGGTGCTGCTTCCAGGGCATCAGGTTTATGTACGCGATTAGTAGTGATTGGGGTGATTTGTAGTGATTTGCTCCAAGAAGCGCTAAACTAGGTGTAAATGACACGTGTTTATGGCATTCATGAAAGAGTGAACATAAACAGGATTATAAGACTGAGACTTCGTGTTAGTAATCATTCATGGATACCTGTTTACACAAAGCACCTTATAAAGGAGGGCGCTCTTTAGATACACTGAAGAATAGTAACGCATTCTTATCTCTACATACGTTATGCCCGACGATATAATCTAGTGGTCTATATTTTTGAAAACTAAAAAAAACATTATTGCACTTGTATAAACCATCCCACATTTGCATACGTACTGGCGATGCACTCCGCTTCTCTCGTGTACGTATCATTGTCATGGTTCGTGTGAAAAATTGTGCTCTCAGGCCACGCCCTAATTAATAAAAAAAGGTTATTTGGCCGTCACATGAAATAACTTACAGCCTGTCTTATACTCGAGCTCAGATGCATAGTGTTCCTATATAGTCCCGTATGTATTGTCTCCCTTCCACTGGAGCAAAGTACTTGTTTATGATACACGCTATGTTGTACGGAAATACAAGAGAACCAGAAATTGGAGGCATTGTGCTGGTATCAACGACTGCTGAAAATGAAGTTGAGAATATTCCGCTCGTTTTTATGGGGTTCCTTTGCGAGTATTTTTAATGAGACCCCTAACAATATTTGAAACTACTCGCAAACCTTCTGAGAAGGTTGCCTCAGTTTATATAATAATGAAGACAGTGACTTAGCTACTCCGAATGAAGTAATTTATTGCCGGTTTTTAGATGCCAGAACTGGTATGGATCACAGCGCCACCACATCAAATCTTCGGACGTCGCTACATTTGTGACGACGTAAGGCTTTGCGACGTCTCTTGCACGACTGATCTGATTGGCTACCTGACGTTTGTAAAATACCAAGTGAAACAGCGCCAGTGGAGGCGCTGTGATGAACTAAATGCAGGGTGTTATGGTCCTAGTGATCTTCCACGCGGGGGCCGAAAATCACGGAGAGAAGAGTTTCATCCGCATCACCCGGCCAAAGCAAAAAGCTGAGAAGAAAAAACACGTATTCACGGGAGAGTGAATCTTCAATCACCTGTAGCTCCTTTCAAACAAGTCAATTATCCTCAATGCAGTACAGGTTATTTGCTCTAGCTATAATAAAATCATTTTCATAAATCAAAGGAATCTATCAACTATTCAGATATTTTTGTGCATACCAGAGCGAGAAATATGTTGGAAACTCTTGCGCGGTGGGCATTGCAACTTAGAAGTGTGGTGGTTTCGGCTAGAGGGCATTGCAAGCTAGGCAAACACTGTCAAAGTCAAATGTTTATTTACACAATAATGTGCTTCGCAACGTGAATACCAAGTTGGCATCTACAAATCAAGAAAAAAACATTTCCATGAAGGGTTTAACCAAGAATTATCAGATAGCTAGACCGTGCATATATTCACCACATGTTGTAATGCATCAAATATGGCGGTAAGTAACGCAAGATTTCTAACCACTTAACCGACTGTTTCCCGAGTGTTAGAGTGCTTAAAAGTCAACGCGAACGCTAATAAACGTTTTACCGTTTGCAATGTGATCTGCCTATATAACTTCGTTTGCAGCGTACCCATCGCGACAGGGTGTCACATCACACTTACTCTTTATTCACAACACTGATGTGATGCTGATGTAATGATGCGATTCTGATGTCTACCCAAGCTTTGATTGAAAATGGTTCTCTTAGAAAGGCTCAGAAGAGTTTTGTAAGCTTCGTTTGGTAGCTCAACAACGGTTTCCTTTGAGCGAAGTAATGATGACAGAATACAGATGACTGGCTACAGAGGTAACCATCACCTATCGGCCTTGAATCACAGCAACTGTGTTGCTGGTTTTTATCAAGCTGTGCAGGGGAGACACCTCGCAGCTGGACACCATATGTTGAGATGACACCACGTATTGAGATACGTAATTAAACCTCACGTAACTATTTTAAAATAAGATCTTTAGTTCTAACTGGCACGTAAAATGTGAACAAGGCGAACACACAAAGCACGACTCTATATAAGCTCATCTATGAAAAAGGCAAAGTGCATGTCACAAACATGGATTCAAAAAAGGCCAAACCATACGTCCCCCTTATAGCCACTTATTCCCCTTGTGATCCCGAGCGTGCCAGCTGTGAAAGTGTCTTTACGTATCGCACCGTGAAAATATGTACAATGTGTAGCACGTGATTCACTTCTATGTGATCCTTGTTCATACGCGCTCACTAGAGTGTATGGCGAGAGCGTTCCATGAACGTTTGCTGTTGTTCAAAGCATAAGATATTTTCTGTTGAACAAATAAAATCACATGCTTTGTACTAAATCTGACCATGTGGTTATTCGCTTAAAAAAATTCAGTAACCTTTTACT